TGGGACATAGTGTTCATGGGAGATTTCAGTTACCTGGATATCTGTTGGAAGTCCAACTCTGCTAAAAATGAAAGGTCCAATAAATTCCTAACTTGTCTTGCTGACAACTTCATTTCCCAGAAAGTGGAAACAAGGGGATCTGCTATCTTGGACTTGATTCTCACCAACAGGGAAAAACTGGTTGATGAAGTGAAAGTAGTGAGCACCCTGGGTAGTATTCACCATGTAATTTTGGAGTTTACATTCTTGGGGAAGGGAAAAGCTGTATGTTGTCAGACACAGGTTGGACTTCAGGAAAATAAATTTTAACTAACTTAAAGTTATGCTGTGTAGAATCCCATAGTCAGACATACTTAAGGAGAAGGGAGTTCAAGAGTAGGGTTGCCAAGTCACTTACTGCTAATAGCGAGGGAGAGTTGGTCCCTGCCCAGGACATTTGCACGCACGCCACAATGACATCACTTGGAAGTGACATCATCACATTGGGCATGTTGCTGGCTGACGCTCTAGCAATCAGCCTGGTAACTTTATGGTACCATAGAGTTTTGAGGTTGATTGCTAGAGCATCAGCCACCAACGTGCCCGGCACAATGATGTCACCTCCAAGTGATGTCATCATGCCGGGCACGTCAGCTCGAACTGGGCACTTTGGGGGTGGGTTTCCCCCTGCCAGCCTTTTCCAGACTGGTGGATTGGGGACCCTTTTAGTGGGGGAACCTCCAACCTCCTGGGGGACCTGGCAGCCATATTCAGGAGGGAGCATCACAAATGATTCCTATGAGAAGAAAAAAGGGGAGGTGCCTAAAGAAGCCAAGGTGGCTCCATAAACAGTTTTTAAAGATTTGAGAAATAAAAAAGATTCATTTAGGAAATGGAAGGAGGGCCTTTTAACCAAGGTTGAATATAAACAAATAACCAGTGCTTGTAGAGAGAGTGTTAGAAAAGCTAAAGCTCAGTATGAGCTTAGGCTAGCAAGAAATGCTAAAAATAACCAAAAAAGGGTTCTTTTGTTATGTTCAAAGTAAGAAAAAGAGCAAGGACATGGTAGGTCCATTGCAGGGACAGGAAAGTGAAATTGTAACAGGTGATGAAGTGAGGGCAGAACTGCTCAATTCCTACTTTTCCCCAGTCTTCACTTGTGACAGAAATGGTGCTCAGCATGGCAAAAAGAGAACACACAATGAGGGAAGGGAGTTGCAGCCTAGGATCGGCATAGGGGTAGTACATAAACACGTAGTTTCTTTAAGTGAAACTAAGTTCTCAGGGCCAGATGAATTGCATCCAAGGGTACTAAAAGAATTTGTGGATGTAATTTCTGAGCCTCTGTCCATTATTTCTGAGAATTTTTGGAGAAAGGTTGAGGTGCCAGAAGATTGGAAGCAGGCAAATGTTGTCCCCATCATCAAGAAGAGGGGAAAGGAGGATCCAGGTAAGTACCAACTCAGCAGCTTGACATCTATACCTGGAAAAGTTTTAGAACAAATCATCAAACAGTCGGTCCCTGAGCAATTAATTTATAGAAAAGATGGCTGTGATTACTAAGAGCCAGCATGTGTTTCTCAAGAACAAGTCATGTCAGACTAACCTTATCTCTTTTTTCAAGAAAGTTACTACCTGATGGATCAGGGGAATGCTGTAGACATAGTTCATCTTGATTTCAGTAAGGCTTTTGATAAGGTTCCACATAATATTCTTGTTGACAAGTTGGTAACATGTGGTTTGGATCTTATTACTGTTAGGTGGATCTGTAACTAGTTGACAAATCGCATCCAAAGAATGCTTGTTAATCGTTCCTCATCCTTTTGGAGAGGAGTGACAAGTGGAGTTCCTCAGGGATCTGTCCTGGGACCTGTTTTGTTCAACATCTTTATAAATGATTTGGATGGAATAGAGGGAATGCTTATTAAATTTGCAAATGATATTAAATTGGGAGAAATAACAAATATAGTAGAAGACAGAGTCAGGATACAGGATGATCTTGACAGTCTGGAAAACTGAGCTAAAACAAATAAAATGAATTTTAACAGGAATAAATGTAAAGTTCTGGAAAAATCAAATGCATAATTATAGGATGGGGACTTGTTCTGGCAATAGTATATGCGAAAGGGATCTAGGGGTCTTAGTAGACCATACACTGAACATGAGTCGGCAGTGTGATGCGGTAGCTAGAAAGGCAAATGTACTTTTGGGCTGCATCAGCAGAAGTATAGTATACAAATCATGCAAAGTGATGGTATCACTTTACTCTGCTCTGGTTAGACCTCACCTAGAGTATTATGTTCAGTTTTGGGCACCACAATTTAAGAAGGATATAGACAAGCTGGAATGTGTCCAGAGGAGGGCAATGAAGATGGTGAGGGGTCTGGAGACCAAGTCCTGTGAGGAAAGGCTGAAGGAGCTGGGTATGTTTAGCCTGGATTGGAGATGACTAGGCACAAGGACAGTGATGGGCTTGTGACAGACTTTGCCAGAGAATCTTGAGGTGATCCAATAAAGAACTCACATTGTGTGTAATCAACAGAGTCTGCAACAGGCCTGGTGGTAAATAGTCCATTCACTCCTCCACATGCAGCTGCTGGGTGACCATGGGTCAGCCACAGTTTTTGCAGAGCTGTTATCTCGAGCAGTTCTCTGAGTGGTATGTCAGCCCCACCTACCTCACAGGGTGACTTTTGTGAGGAGAGGAAGGGAAGGATATTGTAAGCTGCTCTGAGACTCCGGGTGAAGACCAGGGTATAAATCCAACCACCACCACCACCCCCTCCTCCTCCTCTTCTTCACCATGTGATAGTGACAACACACTTGCATATTCCATAAGGCACAGTTCTTAGCTATCTACAGAGGCACTCCTGTGATGACAGTTATTCAGCCTGACATCACTAGGTTGTGCCCCATAACGTGATGTTTGCTTGGCATCCACCAAGATGAGGACCTTCTTTGTGGTGGCCCTGTCCTAGTGGAACCAGCTGTCAGATGGTATGTGTGCCCTGCAAGACTTGTCTAAGTTCTGCAGGGCCTGCAAAGCAGAGCTCTTCTATGTAGCTTTTCATTAGTTGGGTCTGTTTATGTGGGCTGCCTTTTAGTTTTATTTGTATTATGTTTTTAGTTGGTATCTGTTAATATTTTAGCTGTTGTTAGCCACCTCAAGACCACTTGATGGCAAGAGGTGGCATATAAATCTAATAATAGTAACAACAACAACAACAACAACACTGGCTCTGCCTGGCATTGAGATCCTGTGGACCTGGTAATTGCCACATGCCATTTACAGGCTGTTAGTTATATAGAGTATCTTTGCATAAAAGTCACAACTGCAAATTTATTCAAATGTGGTACATCATTAGAATTTGACTAACACAGCTAAAGTTGAACAATATTTAAGAAACACATTTCAAATTTCCATTGAAAGCAAACTTAACAGTGCCTAGCTTTGGTTGGATTGTGCCTAAACCCACAACAACATTACTGGCTCCTAGTATTGTCTTCACTACAATTCTTTTGTTACCAAATTCTGCATCACAACCTTTTAAATTCCTGATAAGACACTCTATTTAGTTTACAATACTTAATATATACCTGTTTTCTATATGTGAAAAAGATATTTCAGATAATTTGATTTGAAGAACTGAAAATTCCTTATTGTAAATAGAGTCTGAAATTCTATATTTTGTTCCATATGATATCATAGCTCCAACTGGAAAACCATCCATTTTTTACTGGTATGTTTGTACAGTCAGCAGTTTTACCACTTTATAAGAACTGAATCTATCACTGGGTACATTTACTCCAGTATCCCAGTAATATGTCCTTCATGCCTCTAACCAACATTTCACTTTAATTAGAAATTAGGGATGGGCACAAACTGAACAACGAAGCAAACTGTGTCACAAATTTTGCCCTGTTTGTGGTTCATGAACAGACTGTGACAGGTCTACCATCATGAACCTAAAGCTCATTCCGTCACACAGCACTCTGTCACACGGCACTAGGGTCTTAAACTGCTGAACTGCAGACCATCTTAACCTTTGAGCCACCGCAGCCCCATGAACTTTAAAAGCAGTTTGTGGAGGTTTGTGTTAGTTCATGAATGGAGCAGAAAGCAGGGGTTTAAAGTGACTCTGAGTCCCATTAAAAGCCTGCTTTCTATTCCCTGCAAAAGCTGCAGAAACAGCTGAGTGGCCGGGCTGTTTCAGGCTGGGGACTGCAGCAGACAGCCCGAAAAACAGCTGAGCAGCTGGTTTCAGGCTGTCTTGTGCAGTCCCTTTAAACTTTAAAGACAGCCCAAAACAGCTGAGCGGCAGACAGCAAGTTTAAAGGGACTGCACAACAGCCCAAAACAGCTGAGCAGTGGGGAGCAAGCTGCTCTCCATAACTGACCTTTTTTTTAGCTTTCTGCAAATCCCATTTAAACCTCCTGGTTCAGTTCATGGTTCAGTTTATTGTTCAGCCACAAACCACAAACTGAACCGCATTTTCTTGGTTCATGCACATCCTTTTTAAAAACAATTCTCCCTCAGAAAACATTGCCCTCAGAAAACAATGCCTATGAAACAGCACTTCTACTGTATGTTTCCCCATTATTGCATACCATTACATTAGTATCTTTATATAGCACAATTGAACTATTAAAACTATAGACCATAACAATACTGACAAAGAATTTATCATCGAATTACGTTAACGTTCAAAGTAAGCTATAAGAAAATGTAGAAAGACTGCGATGACTGAAATATCAGGTTAGGAACAAGTGGGATGTATTCTGTTTAGCATCTTGGAATGTTATAGCAAAGTAATACACTTAAAATGCATCAGAAGAGTGAAATGAAAGAACTGGGAAGAGAAATTAAATAAAATACAAAACAATGAACATGAAAGGTGATGTAGCTTAGAACTCAGGAAAGTAGTGTACCTTAGTAACTAGACTACTAAGGATAATGGTGACAGTGATCTATTAGAAGAATATCAAGGCCATGTATATGTTTTTAAAAACAGAGACTTACCTTTCACAAGCTCTGACAGTCCATGCAGCAATTATCCATAAGGAGATACTAAAAACCAAAAGTACAGTTCCTGGACATATTGTCATTAGAGTCTTCATAACAAAACGAGTATTGAAGTTTATCTTATTTAGTGCTCCAATGCTTCTGGATGAGGCATCAGTGAAAAGTTTGCTATGCAAAAGCATAACTCTGGCAATAAGATATAGTCTTAAGAACATGGGTATGGATAAAATAATATCCACATCAGCTATTGCCGTAGATGGGGTATAGGAGAAGGCAAGCCGGGCTGTCCATGTGAATGTATAGTTGCCAGGGATAGGATGTATAGCACACACCAAAATTTCCAAGCAGATAAAGAAAATGCGCTCATAAGTCATGGCTATTCTCCAGTCATCAGCTCCATTGTCCACCATAAACAACTGCAAAAGCAATGCAGAAGGACAATATTAGTGAAATATCAGCAGGACTTTTTACACACAACAAAGTATCAGTAGTACTTAAAAATGTAAAATTTAAAATAGTAAACACAGTATGTGTTTTCAAATGTTATGTAAGCTGCAGTTTAGGAGTCCAGCTGTCATAATTTGAAATGAAAGTGAAATATGTATTGTTGGACTTCTTTAGCCAAATGAAGTTTCATACATCACTTGCTCATGTTAACAACCTCTTTCAGTGTTAATTACTGATTTAAACCTTATTCTCACTAAGGTATGGACACTAGGCAATGGTGAACACATGAAACTGCCTTATACTGAATCAGGCCATTGATCCCTCAAAATCAGTATTGTCTACTCAGACTGGCAGTGGCTCTCCAGGGTCTCAGGCAAAGATCTTTCACATCACCTACCACCAGATCTTTTAACTGGAAATACTAGGGATTGAACCTAGAACCTTTTGCATGCCAAGCAGATGGTCTACCATTGAGCTCTCCCCAAATGAATAATGGCAATAAGTATTGAAATCATAGGGTTAAGAACATAAGAACTTAAGAGATGCCAATGTTGGATCAGGCCAAAGGCCCATCCAGTCCAACACTCTGTATCACACAGTGGCCAGAAATACCAGTGCCATCAGGAAGTCCACCAGTGGGGCCAGGACATTAGAAGCCCTCCCACTGTTGACCCCCCCCCCAAGCACCAAGATGACAGAGCATCACTTGCCCCAGAGTCCCTATCTATACCTTGTGGCTAATAGCCACTGATGGGTTGGATTTAAACAAATCATGGAGGACAGGAAGACACTAGATTGAAATTTTCATTCAGAGATTTCACACTATTTCAGCCTGAGCTGAACAATGACTTGAGATTTTTATTTTATTATGTCATTTTTGCAAAATCTCGTTCTCTCCACCCTGGTTCTCATGGCTTTCCACAAACCATGCAAAATTGAATTAAGAGGGCTTTTCTATACAGGCAATAGACTTGCTCTGTACTAAATGATTCACAAAGTTACTTAAAAAAATTATTAGGGACTGTGTATAACTTGTTAAAACTAGTATCCTAAAATGGAATCTTGTATCATTTAGGCTGAGGACAGACTGGCAGTATGAAGCATGAGGGAGGCAGGGCAAAAAGACGCAGACCAAGTTGTGCTGGGGATTCCGGCCGCACTGCACCTACTGATGCGGGAGCATACCAGGAAGGAGGTGCATAAGAGTGTTCGCACTGTTGGCCTGCCCCTGGTGGAGGCGTGGCTGTAAGCAGCTTTTTTTTCACTCCAACGACATGCACCTATTTCTCGAGCAACCTGTTCAAACATCTCCCTGTTCCTGTGGGTCTGACGCAAGGCCTCCTGCACTGGCTGCACACCCCACACTGCCAGGAGGTCCAAGGTCTCCACCCTTTTCCAGGACGCTCCTCGCATGCCTGCCATTTTGCCAGTCTGTCTCCCAGGAGGCTGCCTGCTGGGAGCTTTAACTCTGTGAGCCGTGGGCAGTTGTGCGCTCCAGCGCATATTGCGCATGGGTGCTTATGCACATCTCTGCTGCCAGATCAGCCAGTTCACATTATCAGTGTGGCTTGTTTGTGGCTTTTAGCGTGCACACTTCCGGGAAGTGGGATCAATGTGCCCTCTAGGGTTTCCTACGGCTTTCACCTGGTACTTTTTTAACTTGGTAGGGAATCATCATAGGATGGGCTGAGTACGGCTGGGGAACTCCTGACAGCTGTGGCTGTGTGAACCAGCCCCTTTAATCCATTTGTGAAACATTCCTGTATCAGGCCAAACTGCCAGTCTGAACTCAGCCTTCATGTGTCATGTTAATACTTATGCTTTGCTTCAGTTCTGTTTTTATACGTCCGGTTGTTTCTACAACCTATTATTGTTTATTGGTTTCTACAACTTATTGCATTGTTTATTGAATGTTACAGCCATCAATTGTATTGACTCACTCTGTTTAATCCACCTTGAGTCCAAGTGAGAAAATGGGACTATAAATAATGTAAATAAATAAAATAAGTAGCTTGACACAACTGATGAATACTGCGTATTTTTGTTGATTAGACTAGAATTTTGTGTAATTACATTTCATTCTGTAATTCATGCATTTCATGAGCCACTGAAACTGCCGTTTGTTTTTTATACAAAATACTGCATGGTGAGAATGCACTCTTTACATCTGAAGAAGTGAGTTTTAGTCTATGAAAGTTAATGATGGAATAAACTTTGCTTAAGGTACAAAATACTCCTTTTGATTTTAGCTTGTGGGGTGTGAGTGACTCCACACATACTTTTATCTGACTTCAGCACACATACTTTTATCTGAAATAAACTTGTGCTCTTTTCCAGCTTCTTAGAAACCAATTCATGATTGAAATTTGAAACTTCAAGTAGACATATGTGATTGAACCACTTCATGTTGACTGGTTATGACTTGTTTGAAAGCATCCCCATGTCAAGAATTTCCCAATAAAGCATCCTCTCTGATTTGTCCCTATTTTGTTTTGGGATGGGGGGTAGAAATTTAGCGATATTTTTTTTACAGTATCTTGACTAATGTGAGTACGATAGTTGTAATTGTTAACACTTTAGCCCTTTTCTACAGGACTCAAGTAGCAAAAACTTAGTATGTATGCTTGTAATTGCACACACCCAAACAATAAGGTCATGTACACTGTGTAACCTACCATAACCTGCCTTAGGATATATGCATATAGTTGCACACACATGAACAATTAGGCCATATGCACTATATAAGCTACCATTCTAATTATCTGTGGATGGCAAGGCTCATTTTGAACAGACAGCACATTCCAAAATAAATTAGTTCTGGGTATAGCAGGCAGACAAAAAGCTTCTGTAATGCATAATAATTATGAAGAAGAAAAAGAAGAAGAAGAAGAAGAAGAAGAAGAAGAAGAAGAAGAGGAGGAGGAGGAGGAGGAGGAGGAGGAGGAGATTGGATTTATACCCCGCCCTTCACTACCCACATCTGGGAAGCGTAGCACTCCCGGGGCTCAACCGAGGCTTCCAGCCGAAACTGTGTGGCAAAAAACTAGTACCTTGGAGGTACTAGTTTCCGGAAACTGTGGGGCAAGGGCGGGCGTCTGATCGCGTTTCCAGAGGCATCCGGCGCCCGCCCATGTCCCCTTGCAAATAAGGTGTTTTTGTTTTGTCCAAGTCTCTGTGGATGCGCATGCGCACTCAACGGAGCATGCGCATTTGTCATGTACACAAAAATAAAAACAGTTTGCCGCGGTGCGCGCTTCTTCGTTGCGCGCCGGCTTGTCCTGTGATCGGCACCTCTCCCTTGCCATGGAACCTCCACGGTACCTCCACAGGACCTCCACAGGAGGTCTGATCGCGTAACTGCGCAGTAGTTTGCCCCAGGGCAAACAGCCACGCTTCTCCTCTGCAGTTTCCTGCCCGTGTGACCGGGGCCTCAGAGTGGCTTACAAACTCCTTTCCCTTCCCCTCCCCACAACAGACACCCTGTGAGGTAGGCAGGGCTGAGAGAGCTCTTGACAGAAACTGTTCTTTTTCAAGAACAGCTGTGCCAGAGCTACGGCTTGCCCAAGGTCATCCAGCCAGGTGCAAGTGGAGGAGTGGGGAATCAAACCCGGTTCTCCCAGATTACAGTCCACGCACTTAACCACTACACCAAACTGGCTCTCTGAGGAGTGTTCCTTCGTGTAAAAAAGGGGTATTTTAAGGAAACAGGAAAGCAGTTCATAGCCCCATATTGTTGATGTAAATACAAGTGCCCCTTGCAATTGACTGCCAGAAGAAGGCTCAGATTTGGAACAGGTTTGGATTGGTTTGGTCTGGAGAATAGTTCCATAATATAAGTATATCAAACAGAAATACAAATCATTCTGTTACACTACAGTTAACAAAGTGTGTTAAATTTTCAGCGTCCTAAAAATGTAAATATTTGCTTATACATTGTATATACTGGTGGTTCGCTGTGACTTTTGTTGAACAATCGCAATAATCAAAGTAGGCATATAACTGCAAACTTATTATCACACTGAGCAAATGCATAGATTTCTTTCCTTTTATTTTGTACATGTATAACATGAAGTAGTGCTTTTCTTTGTCAGAACAAAGTGAGGGTGACTAGGGTCAAATGCCTGCCTGGAAGCCATTGGACTTGGGACACATCACCTTAGAATCACTTGCAGGGCACATAGTCCACAACTGCTCAGTAGCTCTTGGCATATGCCCAGAATTTGGGCGTGAAAGCATGTTCTGATTGTAAATCAGAGAGAGCCCTAGGCCATCAAGACATGTGTTATAGCCAGGCAAATTCTATAGATCTATTATATATTCTTTAGGAGTGAAGGAAATCTTTTAATCCTTAGACTGCTCTGTAATGCCAGTTAGCAGCACAGGACTAAAAGGATATTTCCAGTGCAAAGCAGTGCACTGGCAACCTAACTGCACTGGCTGCCTATTGAATTCTGGATCAATTTCAAGGTGCTGGTGCTTACCTTTAAAGTCCTATACAGCCTATGGCCAGCATACCTTCGAGATCGCCTCTCCCCTTATGAGCCCCATAGGACATTGAGGTCCACAAATCAACATATCCTGGCAGTCCCAGGGACATCCATCTAGCCTCGACCAAGGCCAGGGCTTTCTCGGCCCTGGCCCCTACTTGGTGGAATGAGCTCCCATGTGAGATCAGGGCCCTGCAGGATTTAGTACAGTTCTGCAGGGCCTGCAAGACAGAGCTCTTCCATTGGGCTTTTGGTTGTGGCAGTGGACATCCCTCCCTTTTCCTGGCCAACCCCCCACCAGTAGCCTGGTTCTAATTCGACATCAGGGCACCACTGCTATATTCAAATTAATGACTGACATCTGGACAAGTTACTTTACATGGTATTTTATGATTTTATGTTGTTTTAATCTGTTATTAAATTATTGTTTAACGATACTGATGTAAACTGCCCTGAGCCCATTCGCGGGGGGGGGGTTGTTA